AATAGTGGAACTTTTCCCTGGAGGCATTAGATTGTATTTAAAATAGGCCAGTTGTCAAGAGCCAAATAAATTACTGTACAGGGAATCTGCTCTAGTGTAAAAATAAGAATTAAGAATAAGGAATCCCCTCGTTGGCTTTTTTCATTTTTGTGGAAGAGTTTAGCTTCCTTAACAGCATAGCTTACTAGACTCGATAAGGATAACTTGTGACTATGTATTAACGCAAATGTACAAAGTATACAAATTGTTGTGTTTGTTTGTCTGTCGGCCTGTGTGTGAATACACACGTACGTGTACAATGAACAACTCTGCTTATTAGTGGGCCTCCTGTTGGTGTTCACTGGCCCATCTATTTGAGGTTGATCCAGTCATCCCTCTGAAGACTACAACTCAAAAGGAGATACAGAAGAGAAAAACAAGCTTTGTTTGGCGCCAGCAACCACAAGGCCACAGTGTTCCAACTACAAAGCCTTCTTTACATTACTGATCAGCACATTACACACAGTACATGTGCCGATAAGTGCCACACCAAACTAGTTACACATATCTCACCATCAATGGAGCCTTATAGGACCTTTAAAGTCACTGCTACATGACAATAGTGCTGCTTTTCAGAAACAGATGACAGAATGAAACCAACACCAGAATAAGAGATAACAACTAGTTCCTTGACTAAATATAGCAGGACTAACTTCAAAGTAAGTGCTATTTCTACCTTTTTAATGGTGAAGTAACCCAACATGGATAACGTCCTTGAAGGAAATGCCAACCCTGTCTCCATATTGGCGAGCTACTCTGTGACAAACAGCATAAAATGTCACTGTGCTCCATTAAGAAGTCCTTTGTCTATGTTTCCGTTGTGGCGTGGTCTTCAGAGGCTAATGGTCTTTGTGGTCCAAAAGTAATTTCTTTAGAGAAGGGAATTCCCTCTCTGTCGGATCCCCTGTGAGCACTGAGCACAGGGATAAGGCATTGTTATTAGCAGATAGTCAGGAACACCAACGGGGCCGAGAGGCTTAAATCACAGACAGCATGGTAGTCTCAGCTCTTAATAACACAAACAAACTAAGACAGATTTAAACACACACACACACACACACACACACACACACACACACACACACACACGCACACACACACACACACAGATATACAGCCTCAGGGGTGGAAATGTCCTTTGTCCAAAGCATGCGTAATCAATTTTTCCTGATATGCATTTAAAACAAAGGCAATTCAAAATCCCGTTTACCCTGAAGTTAGTCAATGAAAACAAATGGGTTACTGAAGTCCTTAAACTAGTTGTTAAAGGAGAGAAAACTGTGTAACATGTACATGGGCTCCCAGGGGCAGAAACATGATGAAATGAGATGACAAACACTGAGTGCTCTGATGGCTGAGTGCCTGCTGTAGGGAGGAGCATGCATGTGAGCATTTGTGTTTATCTGCAGAGTGTGAGCGGTTGTCCTCTACGTGCTTCCTCAAAGATTCAGCCCTCCGCTGACCTCCCTGCGAGTGTGCGTTCCCACGCCTTTGTCGATGCTCTTCAACATGACAAACGTAAACAGATGTTGCGCTGTGACAGGAAGTGGCCGACTTCTGAGGGGCTGATGGAAAAGGAGCTGTTCTTGTCCTTGACAGAGGACAGCGAAGGGGTCACAGTACAGCAGGAAACGGCAGAGAATCCGTCCCAGGCGAGCATGTGTGTAGGTTCATGTTGGGGATTGAAAAGGCTGCATTTACAATCTCTAACCCCGTGGTTCAGGGTTAAACAGCTGACTACTACACCTTCATGGCTCTAACCTTATTGAGCCGCAATACCACCAGGACTGTAAATCAATGGCAGAACACAGAGATTATATCTAACCAGAACAGGGAGAAGGACAAGTGATTAAATAAAAGAGAGCGAGAGAGAGAAAGAGAGAGCGCAATAGAGAGAGATTATACAACTTTGGCACCTAATGAGTAATAGCTGTAGAACTAAGATAATAAATAACCCTTGAATGACAGAAACAAAGAATATTGCAGCAAATCATGAGCTACGTGTAAAGTGCACTTCACTAACAGCAGCACCGGCCTCTATGTCTGTTGCACTTCTGATCACAGCTGGGCGTCATATTAAGTGCTCCACTCTACTTGTTACCACATCTAAATGTGATGTAGTTTGGTACTTTAGTGCTACGCTACATCACTGGTACTCAAGGTGTGGAAAAGGCATGTTGTAGCCATTAGTTGGCAGGGCAACACCAACTAAAGTTAATCTTTAAAATTAGTTAAAGAATGTATTGTTATTCCCTGGTGAGTATTTCCCAGATTGATTTTTCACAAATTCAGTCGGCCTCAATTATCTAATCCACTATATGCTACTAAAGCCTCGGACATACTTTCATGCACACAGTTTCAATCATGCTACAATTGAGGGGCCACGTCGGTTGAGGGTTGTAATCTATTGTGTAACCAAATTAACTTTGTCTTTTTTTTTTAACTGTATTCACCGATGATACCAAAAAAAACCTTGTACAATATACTGTACTAAATTACATGCACAAATGAAGCCAATTCCTTTTGCTGTGGTGCTCTATGCTTTGGGAAGTGGATGTAAATGATATGGAATAAGTAGAAAAACTGGGGAACAAAAACAGCAGCTTTTAGGGACACCTTTAAGACACCTTATTTGTCTTTCTCCATTTCTGTATGACCCCCACAGATCCATGTGAGTTTGGACCACAAGTTCCAGAGGGTTTGCGAAAAGGACAATTTAAATAGATCAGATGACAGCAGTCCACTACAACATTTGAAACCAGCCACTCCATTAGCGCTGAGCTAGCTCTGTTCTGGAGCAAATCACAGTGGCACCAAATGGAAGTGCAGGGCGCCTGCTGCAGGGAGGAGATAAAAGTCTGTGTGCTGGGTCCTCTGGGCCTGCAGGCTGCCATCCTACTGTTGAAAGATTGCCTGCTGATGTTTGGCATGCAGATGAGATGGCACTCTTGACAGAAACACCACATACACAGTGCTGAAGATGGCGTGCACATGCAGTAAGTGTAGGATATGCAAAAAATGAACACATTTAAGGATCAACAGGCGCATCAATGGACGTCTACAGGCACTCGGAGTGAAAGGGGAGAAAAACTGTAGTGTATGACAGACAGAGGAGTCTGGGGAGAGACAGAAAAAGCTGGATGAAATATTAATGGGAATGAAATATTCACGTCATTCTTCTATTGAACTCTGAAGTTTTGGGAATGCAGTGTTTTGCAGCATCATGTTAACCCCTCTTTAAACTAGGATTCCTGAAGAGATGTGGGAAGGCTGTCATGTGGTCCGTCCTGTCTTTTCATATAAATGTGCACTTTATACTTTCTTCAGGATGCTTCTTATGAAACGCCTTTAGTTGCAGGCTTTTGTACTGATGTGCTGTGTAATTATAGTCTGACAGCCAGAGGCGTACAGATGGATCCCATGTAGGAGGCAGGTGATGTTGGCTGCAGACATCGAGGTACACAAACATGCAATCCAAGGGACACATAGGCACCCAACCTTATTGACAAATATATATGTACAAAAGACTTGCTCACGAACTAACAACAACCACGGATAAGGCTTTTTCATTTTACTCCATCCACACATACAACTTCTGTTGACACGTGCCAAGCTCCATCATATGTATTCCAGTGAGAATTAATGACAGGCTTAACAAAATAAAAGTATTTGCTCTTCTTAATCCTCTAATTAGTGGTGGTCTCCTGTGTCAAGTGGAAGGGAAACATGTATCTCTGTATGATTAAGAGCATCCAATGCCCTCAATAATACCAGATTGTAATTTAAGTTTCCCCCATAACCTCCAATTCTACATTGGCACTGTATCGGGGACATCAACTGCAAAGCCTACCATGCCGCTTACAACATGTATGACCTAAGGGCAAAGTCATATGTAGATAATGTGGAGACATAAAATTGTCAACATTTAGCCACGAGATATAAGGCTGCAATTATTATTGTCATTAGCAATTTTTGTGTGAATTACTTCAATGATAAATTGATTCTTAAAACTGTCAATTAATTTTCTGTCAATCAAAAACTTAATTGAGAAATAGCTTCTTTACTACCAAGGTAATACAACATCACAAGCCCTTCTAAAGCTTTAAACACTGTTCCAATGCAGCAAGCCAACTTTAAATGCCTTGAAAACAAGCTGAAGCATCTGCCTGGCAAAGTGCAATTATTGAACTGTCACCACCAGAATAACTACACCTGATGTATTTTCTGTGGGCTTTAATCGTTAAGTTATCAGTTAGCCATGCCAACGCGACAGATGCCCCCCTTTTCTTAACTGGACGCTGTCAGGTACCAGGATGCCCGTCAATAATTGCACCTGACAAAGAAATGGAGGGTGGTCAAGCTCTTACTGATCTGACGAAGCAACTTAATTGAAACTATCAATCAGAGAGCCACTATACTCTTCTTTTCTGACTTTCATTCCTTCCTGCATAATCTATTCCTCCCAGTCACAGCTTCAAGAATGTATCTTCTCTCTGTCACTTTTGCTGTCTCTCATGCTCACTTGCACACACTTACGAGCTATGCATGTGTGCAAAATCAATACAAAAAACATTTCTCCATCTTCATCATTCCCCCTACTATGCAAAAACACATTGTCCATGACATAGTGACAGAGCTAATTAATACATCATTTCTGTATGTTCTGCTGTTTTTCCTTCAATAGTCTGCCTATCTGACTCTGCAGCAGGTTGTGTGTTTAGCGCAGTGTCATCTAAGGTCCCTACGCTAAAGCGTAGTACTGTAGAAGCTTTTTTCCAAATCACTACAGCCCCACAAGGGATGTCACAGTCACTGTCAGGGAAGAGAGGTTAGAGTGAGAACAAAAGGAAATACCTCCCCTCGCTGGAGAGGAAAGGGTTAAGCCTATTACAGAACACCAATCATGACTGGGGGAGCACTGCAAACCTCCGCAGTAAGAGAGAGAGAGAGAGAGAGGGAACGAGGGAGTGAGGGAAAGAGAGGAGAGGAGTGCAAAGCGGGAGATAGAGAGATACCAGGAATGTGATGGTTTGCACTTCTATCCAGACAGTTAGGCATGGAGGGAGCGCAACAGAGAGTTGGTGAGATGAGTGTTCACAAACCTGTCCCTATGGATGGTTAAGAATTAAAGGGAGGAGAAGAATCCCACCAACATCCCTGTCAGGACTAATCTCTGTGGACTTTGTTTTCCTCGGTCTGTGACTCCGGAGGGAAAGAACATCTTTCAGTTGTGTGACCCTTGCATGTTCATCGATATTCAATCTCTATTCGTGGATTACTGCTTGAAGGAGCAGGAGATCAACCAGCAGTTTCAATCGGTCGACCTAGATTGCTGCAGGGCTGCAAGGAGAGGGGACAGCGTGGTGTGTGGACCAGCTCCGAAGCATCTGTGTTTACCCTGCATGGTGAGCTCTGCCGTGTTTTGATGGGGCACTCTTATTTATTGGTTTGATTTTCTGCCATAAGTGGCGTAGAAGGTGTGTGATGACAAAAAAAAAACTCATTGCCAAACAGCTCTGTCACCACAACAAATGCATTGGATTAGAAACTATCAATATTATTTCCTGAATAACTTCAGGTATAATGTATTGTTGACTTATTGAGTAACACTGGTTATGGTTTAAGTGAAACCTATTAGTAACTGATTAAAAAAGCTTGTCTTGCAATTCCAAGTAGCATGTAATGTAAACATCACACTCTAAAAGGCTCTTGATCATTTGTTTATGCACTACGATACCTCACATGCTGGGAGCAGATCTGTTTGTGTTGTATTCCTACACATATAAATATTCCAAACTGTCTAGGCTGAATATAGGAGAAACTTGATATGCAATTGTTCACTTTAAGATCTTCATGACGTACATGATCCTCTCTTTAATCTAGTCCTGAAGCATGCTACTTAGTGACCATTTCTGCTGACATTGTGGCATAGTAAAGCATGGCATCCCTCACTGAGACAACCTTGAAAAATGACCGACGTGTTCCTCTGAAGAGATTACATGGATGATATATAGTGACACACGAGAGGGCATCCATGTCTTCATGACAAGTTCCCAGAGGAATCACACGGCACTAAAGCTCTAAGGAAGTCTGGCCTATAATGAAAATGGTATGACCCTTTTAGCACCCCTGTTGCTGTACAAGTGACATACACTAATTACCACTAAGCACGTTACTGTAATATTTTACACGAAAACAATAAGAATAGCAACATATTACTACAGTTAATCCGAAAAACGGGAAGGTGGGATTATCTAATACCAGTTGCTTTTATTGCAAGCCCTTGATTAGTGCTACTGTTATGTTAATGCAATAGCAAAGATGTAAAGTGAATCAGGCGATACGCAGGAACATGATAAGACATCGGAGGCTTGTTGCTATGCTAATGAGAGTTTCCTTGTCGCCTCGCTGCTGAGGATATCTTTATTTTCAATAACGCATCCCCCACACATCCCTGTCCTACTCCTCCTACTCTCTCTCTCTCATCCATTACCCTATCCTTTCTGTCTCTTCAGGTCGCTGTGAGAGAAAGATGTGGAATTGACGGACAGACAGATGATGCATGCAGCTCCCTCTACCTGAAGTCCATTTCTTAGTCCGGGATGTTTTTGCAAATCCACAAGATTCATGAACTCGCTCCCACTACCTCATGAGGATGACCTTCTCCTGAATTCCTGAATCAACCCCCCCACTACCACTACATATAAAAAAAAGTGATGATCACAAATGTCTCAGTGATCACACATGCCATGGTGATTGGACACACACGTGCTCTCAAATAATCTGCTCTACTCACGCCATTTCTGGTGATTGAGAGTTCAGCATGTCGAGGGCAAACGGGAGACCTGTGCTCGATTTACATGTCAATGGCAGCTGGAGCCAGGCCTACAGAGACTGATGAGAAAGGTGGAGAATAAAGGTCTGTTCCATTAGTGGTCCCAGGGGGGACATGGGCCTGGATGCTGCCCGGACACACTGACCTCTCCTGGACAGATTCTGGACAATACTATGGTGTACACCGGGGGACTCTACATGGCCGACTGACAAACTCTGCCTCTTGGAGTACAAGCTGATGGATGTAACTGTTTTTTTGTATTTACAGATCTGACTACTATCTTCTCATTGAAGACAAAAAGGCAAGGCTTTGAATCATCGCACAATGAGCAGTACATTCCAGCCCTGCGCAGGGGAAAGAGGCTGTGTGTCTATGTTTTCTTGGTTGGCTGCGTCTCTCCTGCCTGGGAATATCATGAGATTATAAACAGGAGGTGGCTCCAACATCTTATCCCTGTTCCACTCATCCATCAGAGCTCCCACCATCACCAAAGAAAACGGACCAGACATCTGAAAAAAAGTTTGTAGAGGACATTAGCCTATATACTCTAAAACCCACTGGGTGCAGGTGGCTGATTCCTTAGCTTTCTTATCACTGGGGTCAGGAAGAAAAGACTGGCTGCCCACAGACAGTCTTTGGCGAGACGGACAGGTGTTTTTTGGCCTGTCAGCCTCTCTGGGAGGGACTAGCAGTGAAAGGAAAGGCCTCGCTGGGGGGCTCTGCTGGAGCGGAAACTCTTTTCCAAGGGCTATGTTTGGATGTGATGCTCGTCTCTGTGGATGCAACATGGACTTTATGGCCTGATTACACAGCCCTGGTATTCAGATAGTGCTGGCGGGAAGGGTAAATATGTTTAAAAAAAACACTTGTTTCTCTCCCTGTCAGCTTTTATTAGTATCATTATTATAGAGTGCATGTGTAATTGGTTTCTCTCCTCTAACCCATTATTGATTACAGCTTCAAATAAGTTTCTTTTTTTGGTGCACTACTTGATCCTCCAATTATTGAAGTTCTGTCTGAACAAACATCTTGTATTCTGAAGTGTGTCTCTTAGAGTTGGACGAGTGCTGTAGACAAACTCAACATAATCTTCTGGCAGAATATTCTTGTCAGTTATGAACCACCTCCTTTAATTTGGCAATGGCTGAAATGCTGCCAGAAACGACGCGTTTAGTTAGCAAAGACCATATAAACCATGTTGTTTCCTAACTCCCCCCTATATCATATTAATCACAGCCAATTGGGGCTAAAATAAGCTTTCTTCATCATGGCCTTCATGACCTCTGGTTTATATTCAGTATGTATACGGTAAATGCTAAAAAACTATGTCAGCTTGAATGTGCTGTTCAGCTGAGGCTCAGACGAACACTAAGCCACAGCTAAGCCACTACAAAGCCTCAACATACTAAGCCATTAAGGCTATGAGGTTATTATAATTTAATTTCTTCCAAAGTGTTTCTGTGATGTGCCTCCGCTGTGGATGCAACGGTCTGATCAAGGATGGTGATAGCAAAAGCAGAAGCTGATTGAGGCAAGATAGTTACTAGTTAGTCATGCCATGTACGTAGTGAGACAATCTAATCTGCAGGGCATGATAGGAAAAAAAGTTCCAGCACTGTGTCTGAGAGTCTGATCTCAGCATTTCTTATTCAAAACTCAATACGCTTCCTATCGTTTGATAACTGGCAGCATTACGTCTGACAAGATTTCTCAGATGTGTGTTAATTACGACTTTCTAGGGATGCACATGAACATGGACCTCTTCCTTTTCCTCTTCATGAATTCTCTTTTTCTCTTCTCTCTACATGCAGGATAATGCATATCCTTCCTTGCCCTGAACAAGAAGCCACCATGAGCAACGTCACGGTCACCGACAACACTGAGCCCATCAGCCGAACCATGAGTCCGGCAAGCCCTAGCCCGTATCCCTATCCTGTTAGTTTCCAGGTCTCCCTGACTGGCTTCCTCATGCTGGAAATCCTCCTGGGCATGAGCTCTAACCTCACAGTCCTTGCCCTTTACTGCATGAAGTCGAACCTCATTAGCTCTGTCAGTAACATCGTCACTATGAACCTCCATGTGTTGGATGTGCTAATTTGTGTGTGCTGCATCCCCCTCACAATCGTGGTGGTGTTGCTCTCCCTGGAGGGAGACACAGCACTCGTCTGCTGCTTCCATGAAGCCTGCGTCTCCTTTGCTAGCGTTGCTACTGCTGCTAACGTGCTTGCCATCACCCTCGATCGCTACGATATCTCAGTCAAACCAGCCAACCGGGTGCTGACCATGGGCCGCGCCCTGACCCTGCTGTCTGGCATTTGGGTGCTATCCTTTGTTAGTTTCCTCGTACCCTTTATTGAGGTGGGCTTCTTCGCCCATGGCCAGGCTGATCTGAACCAGACAGTGGTGGAGAATATGGTCCACACTAACCAGTACTACACAGAACTCGGCCTCTACTACCACCTGCTTGCTCAGATTCCTATTTTCTTCTTTACTACCGTTGTCATGCTCATCACCTACTCAAAGATCCTGCAGGCACTCAACATTCGCATTGGCACACGTTTCCACGCTTCACAGAAGAAGAAGGCTCGCAGGAAAAAAAGTCCATCCATGACAGCCATGACAACACAGCATGAGGCCACAGATGCATCCCAGAGCACTGGCAGCCGCAACCCCACACTGGGTATGCGTACCTCCGTCTCTGTCATCATCGCCTTGCGCAGGGCTGTTAAGCGCCACAGAGAAAGGCGAGAGCGCCAAAAGAGGGTTTTCAGAATGTCCCTCCTGATCGTGTCTACCTTCATGCTGTGCTGGACACCCATCACAGTGCTCAACACAGTCATCCTGAGTGTGGGCCCCAGTGACCTAATGGTCAAGTTGAGACTGGGCTTCCTGGTGATGGCTTATGGGACGACTATCTTTCACCCTCTACTCTATGCTTTCACTCGGCAGAAGTTCCAGAAAGTCTTGAAAAGCAAGATGAAGAAGCGAGTGGTGTCGATCATTGAGGCGGATCCTACCCCTAACAATGCCATTATTCACAACTCCTGGATCGACCCAAAGAGGAACAAAAAGGTGACATTTGAGGACAAAGACGCCCGACAGAAGTGTCTGTCGTCTGAGGACGTGGGGTGAAGGATCTCATTGTCTTTACGGTATACAGTCAATAAAAGCAGCTAAAACTGACATCAGGTCATGATGAAAAAGGGAACATGTTAATCCAAAGCAGTAATGTAAATATGTGCAATAGAATGTACAAAAACAAGAGGTGGATAATTTATTACTATTTATTGAGAACAAGTGTAGGTTTCATAGATAGACTATATACTGTACTGTAGATATTGCATGGCTTTTTGTAATGGTAGCAACATACAGAGCATTGTGTACATACATAATACATGTACAGTATAGGGTAAACAAGGTATTTAAATAGAGAGAAAGAAGTAGGAAGTACTATGTTTATGTATATTTATAATAAATATCGTGTTCACCTACCCAACCCAGGCAAAAGCTTCCTATTCTACCATCCCCCAAGTTAAGTGTTTGCAATTCCTGTAACAACTGTGAGATTACAACCATTCATCATCATGCCACTTGCTCTGAACACCAGACCTGCAATTCACAGTGACCACTGACCTTATTGCCTGGGAGCCCTCTGAGGGAAGGCAGACAGGTCAAACATGGAAAGAGGCAGGCATGTAATGTATGTTATGTTGCTATAACCGTAAAGCTATGGGGTACTGTTCACAATCACTGCTTTTAGAGTTAAAGAAGAACACTCACATTCCATAGACACAACAGAAGACCATGGCTCTCATCACCTCTTTGACAAAAAACAGATATAATCAAAGCATAGTCTGTTTTACTTTACCAGTCGCGTCTTTCAGCCAAATGGAAAATATACAGTTGCCTTATTTTGGTTTGATGAATTGAGCATGACTTTACGCTGGGACAGGGAGAGCACATACTAAACACAGTGCACAAAATAATGACAAATATTGTTTTAAACCTGAGTGAATCCTCAGAGGTTATGTTTTCATAAGGAGGTTATTTAATCAAACTAGAGGAAAATGTTGAAAACTGTTGTATTATCAAAGTGTCTGTTTTTAATAACACAAGCCGAACAACAATGCTCTCCAAATAAGCAAATCCATAACTGCAATAAAGAACTACTGCAAACATGTTGAAGCCTTATAAAAGATTCTGCTTACAATCCACAATAACAGATAATGAAGTTCTTCTTCCCTGCCTTTGTGTGTCTACCAGTAGTGCGTGTCCTCCTTTGTTTATCAAGGAATACGATAGTGAAACTGTATTTCCCAGGTGGCTGTTGCTGGTAGATTATAAGTCAGCCAGCCTGATATTTTCGGCTCAACTTGTCCTAAATAAGAAGGAATAATATATTCAGAAAAATGCAGAAAAATGTCAGTGGTAATAACAAGAAAAAAAAAGCTGTCAGCTTATTATATTCAGGCTGCGCTCTAATACCGAATCTAGATGAAAAGTTACAATAACCATTAGCATATAAAGCCATGCTCAGCTAGCCTGGCAGTTGACTTCATTACAATCCCTGTGTCAATTATTACATTCTCTCTAAGATGTGGATATATACTGTGCAGTGCAGTCACATGCACGCATAAAGGTGCACACACACAAATGCATATGCACACTGTATGCCACAGTTTATCTCAGGAATGAGCTTATGACGCCTTTGCTGTCTCGGGGAAAGTTAAATAAAATTGAAGAGCCCTTTAGATACTAAGAGCACAGGGCTATTGGCTACCAGAGCGATTACACAACCTTGATCAGATGCTTCTCTGGCTGCCAGACCAGTGTGTGGTTTGTAGCACAACAGAGAGGGCTGATATGGGAATATTGATGCAGGCAAGGTTCTTTATGACCCTGCAGTAAATAGGCAGTGTGGATGTCACGGTACCTTGAGGGCATGCCTGTGATTGAGAGAGGAGACGGGATGAGAGCCAGCAACAGAAAATGTCCTATGAGATGAAACATTGAGCTGGAGGATAGATTTAACAAACGCATGTGAACAGTATGAGTCCAACTTTTAGTAGGAAAACGTCATAGGCGGTGCATCAATATACAAATGGAAAGACTTATTCCCATTGCCAACATAACAATGATTCACTACTAACAGCTGTGTTCCACTACTGAATATATCATTTAGCCCTCTGCTCAAATGGTACCAATCCAAACTTAAATCAGTGCTACTGAAAAAAAATCACTTGTATTGATTACCTTTTTAAAATGACCTCTCAAAGACCAATACAATTTACACTATCTAGGTCACAATTTGTTTTTTTATCCTGGGGTGCAGCCGGCACTGGCTAGGCAAAAAAAAAAAAAAGAACAGTCAGAATCAGTCAGAACATCGTGCTATGTTGGGTGTGCTTGCACACGATGTTCTGACTGAACTGCCACGTTGTTAATACGCCATTATTCAGTTTGACATTCGCTTCTTGTTTCTCGTCTTTTTCTGTTTGGTGGGGGGGGGGGTATTTTGCGCTCACTAATCACTGAGCTTGATGTATCCGTTCTCTTGATGTCATTTTCAGCCAAAACTGAAGCCGTGCGAGTACTGGATAGGAGCAGTTAGCTTCAACATTATCAAGTTTATTGATGTGAGATGATGCTTTTGTAACATTTAAAGTAATTAACTATTTGCTATTTTACAGCCAGTTTGCACACCGAGCTACATGACACGCCAAACCTGTCAGCTCCTTTAACTTGAACCTCATTAAGGCCATCAAGAGAGAAAGTACTGAATCTTTTGTAGCACTAAACTTTTCCTTAACTCTCTTGGGGAGAATGGCACAAACTCCTTTCTTTTAAAGAAATGCCTTCAAGGCATGGCGGTGTAAACTGTTTTTATTCACAGGCTGGATAGCTCCACCTTTTTTATTGACGCTTGTTGCTATATTTGTTTGGATTCTGGCTCTGGCACAGGTAGATGACGTTCCTAACCTTGGCCCAACCTATAAAAGGCACCAACAGGCTCAGTCGTTTCTCCAACTGGGGAAAAATCCGTTCATGAGAGCAACAACAACTCTAAACCTCTTACGCCACAAATAACACTGATTCAATATCAGAGTGGATGCACTTTTACTTAAAATAGCCCTCAATGTGCTCCAGTGCGCTTTTGAAATATTCAGCTTAAACACCGGATCTGTACCAAACCGTTATCCAGAGCTTTGAGTTGTATTGTAAAATGTTGTTTAGGACATTAGACAATGACCGGTGACCTTAATATTTGTCTCAATCTCATTATCATGAGAACATTTCATTTCATTTCTAAGCTGCATTACTGAATTATTGATATTGACCATCCACGGCAAAGAAAATGCAACAGAGTGTTGATATATTTTTGCTTATTGAGTTAATGGCTTATTAAAGACTTATAATGTTGTACAATATAGGTTAGTGAATCAACGTGACGTACATAAACATGCCCTGTTAAGCATGTGTCTAATAACTTAAACAAAGGTTGTACAATTTACACCATCGTCTGATGTGTCTCCTTTTTCCTTTTAATATGTATATCATTCCAAATAAAATAATATTGTGAGGGGCAAGCATTTACAGTCTTTTATGTTCATACTCTGAACTGAGCAGAAGATACCATCATTTACCCTTATTGTTATGATTGCTATTATATTGACTGTGTGTAGTTTCATGTTTCATTTTGGCCCACATGGGACCACTTTAATGTAGACATTTACAAACGGCTGCCATCTCTCGAGCGCTGCTGGTTAGCATATCGGACAGGTTAGCAGGCTGCCACTGGACCTCTAACCCGAGGTGACCTGCAGAGAAAAAAATAGGTCAATATACTACCATACTCAATAACAAAGCTTCAATGACGCTTTACTGGGAGCCTTAATAGAATCCCTTGACCCTGCTGTGTCCTTCTCCTTCTCCCTTATACTCCACAATAAGGCTGGTGTTTACTGCTGTCCCCATCACATACATTATGTCCCTCCCCCTTTCGCTCAGGCAGCCAAGCCCAGATTCAGATGCCATCTCTTTTAGGGCTCCTCTCTATCCAGCCGCAGACACAGAATAAAAGCCCGGGAAATCATATTACTCTGTCCGTATGGAGCCTCTATTGCATTAGGTCAGCAAACACTCAACTGTAATTCTGCTATCGTAGAGAAGAAGAAAGTGAATTGAGCACACCAGCCAGCGCAGCTTGACAAATTGTTGCTCGTGGTCATTTTCCAAATGTTGCTCTCACCAAGCCACATGCACTGTAGAGACGGAAGGACACTTTACAGAGCCGGAAGATATATGACTCTGATCTACAACATTTACGCTCTGTACAAGAACATCTATGGCTCAGATAGAAACCAGGAATCAGAGGCAGACAGCGGGGTATAACCTCTACCTCCTGTGACCTTAATGGCATCATTGTGTGGTATTGGAGGAAAATAACACACTGGTCTGAATCAATGCTGTGTAAATTACTCCTCTCTGTCAGTATAAGTCCAGCGCAGATGTTTAATGATAAATGAAGTGTTCTTCTTTAATATGCAGTCTACATCAGAGAACAACTTTATCCTATGGGGCAAACACGAAAAAGCTACTTACATGCATGCCAAAGTGGACGATATAGAATATTGTTGTATTGTAATAGAAAAAAAAAATCATGGAATTTATTTGTACACAAATTGTCCATAGCACAATAAATGCTTATGTTATGAAGCATGTTATAGAGACTGTTTAGTGTGTAAGAATTTTACATTTGATGAAATGTGCCATTATATTGTGAAATCCTCCTTTAGGAAATGTGAGTCAGACAAAGGGAACGACGAGCATAGTCTTATCTCACTAAACCAAAAAATGTGAAGGACAAAACAAAGTCAGAAGTGCCGACATGGCTGGATGCCCAGTCCCTGTGTGTGTGTGTGTGTGTGTGTGTGTGCGTGTGACTGTCTGTGTGTGCATCTATTCAGCAACGTGTGCATACTCCAGCAAGTGCAGCTATGTCCAAACAGTATGTGCATGCAGCTATGTGTCATTCCAATTGTTTTATCAGGCAGTGACAGAGTGTCAACCATCGGTGTGAGAGGTGACACAGCAGAGAGGAGATTGCTGCCCTCCAGCTCTCTCTCCACATGAAAAGATATGAATGGGACCACCACAACAGAGCTCACTACCACAGCCTGGCAGCTTGAGACACTACAAGGTTACAACATTTGTATTATTAAAGCCAAAAGAGACCACTACATTTTAAATACGGTATATTCCACTCTCCTTCAAATACCCTCATGTCAGAATAGAATTGCAAAGTGGTAGAAGTTATTTTGAGTGTCCAGGGCTACTGAAGTAAAGGTCCTATTCATTTTCATAGACAGTGTTGGGCTTGAATGGACTTAAAACTCATTATGGTTGAATCATCAGTACAAAAGGTGAGCACAAACCGGCTCTTTAACATGAAAAAGTCACAAGCCTGAATATATGAAAACTTAAGGAGAGAAGTTAACCGACTACCAACTAGAGCTGTGTATTGGCAAGAATCTGGCGATATATGAATCGTGATACAGGGGTTACGATTCAATGTATTGCGATACATTACAATACTGTAAGCAAGGCGATATATTCCGATTTGTTAAGTCAAATTTTTGGAAAACTGTTTTAGTATAAAGAACAAACCACGATATAAGGATGCACCAATACCGATATCGGGCCGTTGCTCACTCAAAAAGCTGGATTGAGTATCAGTGACAATGGAGCCGATCTATACAATTTAATGTTTATATATACAATATGTACATTACTTACTGGATTTTAATTCCTGTTTGAGTTTTGACCAAATGGTTGTTCGATTAAAAATATGTACACTTGAACTGTAATTCCTGCTAATTTTGAAGATTTTCTATCAAGTTGCTGGTGTCCGATTCATTATTTTGAAAACAAATAAAAATGTAATAAATGTATGTCTATTTATTTATTTATTACATTTTGTTCTACAAATTTATGAAAGCAAGCACAAGTAAAATAACGATCCCAGTCCTTCCACACAGGGAGGCTTATTATTTACACCTCCCTTTGCCACAAATATTTGCAAGTAGACTTTGATTTCAAAAACATAATATCGTGATACTCAAGTGTGTCTATATTTTCTTACACTCCGACTACTAATGTGCATTTCCTTACAAAACAACCAATCTCCATACTTGAAATTCTGTTGTGCAGCCAACACTGAGCTGGAACTAAAGTTTAAATAATTAACACCGATCGCTAGAATATAAACCGATGAGACTCCTGTGTTTCTGTGTGAGGAACCCTGAGGTTGTCATTAAAAGATATTTTAAATATCTAATTAAAAAGGGGGTGGGGGGGTAGAGACACGGGTACTTCATGGTAGCTTGTTGATTGGCATCAACAAAATACAGCTTCAATATTATGTTTATTGACAAAGTTTTAGGCATGCAGTGTACAGTAGACAGCTGATACTGCAGCTCTAACAAATTTTCAGTCTGCCTCCTCTATAAAGCCTGAAATACCAGATTTCACCATGTTGCACAAGAAAACTGCTCTCGTTATTAAACTAAACATGAGTGTGCTGCTTCACCTTAAACCAGGTTTTCCCGCACCAATTTCTGGAGAAAACCCATCGTCATCCGACCAAATCCCTGGATGCATATGATTTTAACCTCTTTGATACTGAACATGTCCTACCCATCATTTAATATGATTCCCACAGTTAACAGCACAACTCCTCCTCAACTCCTCTTACCGTAGATCTCTGTGAAACTCTCTTCTCTGTATGTGCATCTAAATAGTGTTGCTTGGAAACAGTTTATAGGGAAAGGGCATAATTTACTGTGAATTAATCATGTGGCCTTATTTCATTATAAAACAAACAGTCAATATATTATAATTTAAATAAGAGGCATTGTTTAAACTGCAAAGGACAGCGGGTCGCTTCTGAGTCTCAAAATCTCTCACATCCTGCACATCTAAAGTGATTTAATGATACAAAAGGAAGAAATTGCAACATTTGCCTTTACATGCTTAATGGTCTGTTCAAGTATGTAGCTGTAGCTTGATGAAGCTCACTGGAAGTTTGCAAGAAGTCTTAAAAGAGATTGGTCATTGTTTTACTCCTGACTGGATACATTAAGTTTGATCTTAAAAAAAAAAAAAAAAAAAAAAAAGAATGATGTAATGTTGTGAACATGTGAGAAACTGTTAAATTCTTAATATGATCCATTTTCAGTTCAAAGGGATATAATAACCAGATGAAAGGGTCTTATTGCTCTTAGAAACAAGTCCAAGTCAAAAAGTCTCAAGTCTCTGGGTTAGAGTCCAAGTCAACGTTTCAAGTCTCCCTACTGGTTTAGAGTGACAGTATATTCTCATTCCCCTTTTCTACTCTTAAATATTGATAATCCAGAAGCCTATCAGATGGAGTCTAAACTATAGAATAGCTATTTCTAGAAATTCACTACCTATTAGTATATCCCAGTCATAATGACTTTACAGCTCTGCTGCATAATGAAATTAGAGTTAGCAAGATAAATGCAGAAACTTCATCAAGATAATGCAACTACAGCGTATGATCAAGTCCAACTAAAGGTTGACGTTACAAGTAAAGCATCAACTAGTTGTAGTGTATGGTAATGACAGTTAAGATCTAAATAATATGTGCATGTTTGTAGCTCGTTTTACATGAAAGTTAGGCTATATGTAACACTAATAAAACATGTTACTCTGCGTTTTCATGAACACACAATTAACAACAAACAAACACTGAAACCCTGGAGGAAGTAAACAAGCAACCAACCAAAGTTACAGTTAGCCAAACAGCTAACTTTAGCTAAAACACTGACCTGTTTGAATGTGTCCTCACTGTTGATGGGCTTTAATCCGAGTCTTTTAATTTCACAATCTGTATGCGATGTATGTGATCTTAGTTCTTTCACAGCGGAATGTACCACGTGCTTTCTGTTTTGTCCAGTGTTTTTATAGTTCCTGAGTCCAAGGCTCTCCTCAGCTCAGGATGCAGCTCCAGAGAAAGCCCAGCAGATATGGGTGGTTGGTCTGGATCCATCTTCACACACCTGTGGCTGGCTGGTAAATTCCAGCAGCATGCAGGTTTAGACATGCGCCAAGGACAAGAATTACAGTACTAGTTTTAGGCTTGCACATTGTTCATGTCATTCAACTCTAGTGTATGTGCTGCAGGCAAAGGGGTCAGTCAAAGAGAAAACCACTGACTCCTTCGAAAAGTTCCAATTTTAGGCTAGCCGCTTTACCTTGTCCAGTAAGCATTATGTTGCACATTAACAAGGTGGTAACAATATGGCCAAGCAATACCACCTTGTCTGTTGGTGCCCCACTCCAGATGTTTGGCCTCTGGATCTTCTTCCTCCTGGAGGCATGTCCTCACCTTTTGTCTGTCGCCATGTTTGTGAATGATATCCTTGTCTCCCTCTCCCTCTCTGTGTGTGGTTTCATTGTCTCGTCTCTCGATGCGAATGGTGTGCTGGTATTTTGCCTCTCTTGCAGTATGTGTGTCCTCTTTCCAGGTCTCACCCACAAGTACCAACATGCCAGAAAATCTACAAACTTTGCAGTTGCAGAGGCAATAGCTCTTGGTAAGGTCATGGACTAGATGTCTCAGGACAAGAAAGAAAGAAAGTGCACTTTGAAGGAACTCATGTGAGTACAGTTTGCATGTAAGTGACCAAAACAAGTTCTCTTTATGTCACCTGGGGGTGTTTGCTCATTTGGGCCCCAAAGAAAGTCCACTCTTGGCACCATTAGTGACAAATATGGAGCTCATGATAATACCCTATATGTAGGCCTAACTGAGTTACTCACAAATGAGGACAACATAGTAGCTGAGATAGGTCAGAATAGTATCAAATTTCATAAGGTATGGGATGCCATGCCATTATAGTCGCAAAAGAACCTGAGCCTGAAGGCAAAGCTCTCAATTTACAAGTTGATTTATGTTCCAACCTTCAGTCACAAGTTTGTGTAGTGACTGGGATGATAAGATCCAAGGATACAAGCAGCTGAAATGAGAAATCCTTGGCAGGGTAGTGTGCTACTCCTCTGGGACAAGGTGAGGGATTGTGATATACATGAGAAAAGTTGGTCGCCTCTCTGTGGAGGCATTCTGGGCACAAGCAGCACAGTGTAGACCTCATGTTACACACAACATACTCAATAGGGCCTATATTTCCTCAGTTGGCAGAATGCCCTTGGTTCACAAAGCAGGCAGGAGTTTGTGCATACTTCCCTGCATCAAAACAACCGTATATGTAATATTTAAGAGATCATTTATGAAGTCCATATGCATTGTCGCATTGACTACTGTACCTGTCAAATGTGTACAGACAGGCAATAACTAAAATGAATGGAGCTCACAGGTTACAACACGCCAGCGAGCACACTATCACCATAGCCTGACCATCTGCTTATTGCAGGCATTTTGCTGTAATGACTCTTCAGTCTCCTGAGCTGCGACCTCAGAGATGGTGAGGAGAGGGGAGCAATCAAAGCGCATTCAGTTTCTGCTACAGTCATTTGGCCACTCTCAAAAAGCCATCACAGGGTGCAGCTGTAAACATTTTGCTCCTCAGCACTCCTGAGACATGCAGTCAAAGAGGATAGCAGCCATCAGTCTCTTTCACAGAGGAAGCCCGTGTGAATACACTCTGCAAGCTGAATACAGCGCAGAGGGGGAAAACACACAGATCAGTCATTGGAGCTGAATTCGGTGAAAGAAACAAAACAAAAACTCATTTTTGAAAAGGAAGAAGAGTGTACTGAAGGCTGCACTCCAGAATTCCCTCAGTCTCTGTTATTGATGCGCAACACCCATGCAATTCATCTGTTCATGTGCAAGATGAGCAAGCCAATAGAGGTTTGTGTTCCTTTTCAAAAGGCGCACAAAGTCACAAAAAGAGCAATCCTTTCAAGTCTTTTTGTAATGAATACGCTTTTGTAATGAGTTTATATCTGCTATTTCAGTGACAACTATTTATAGTCAGCTGGTGTGTATGTACACAGTGAGCCTTTTATCCACACTGTCAGCTGTTTGTATATCTCTTTGACACACAGGGAATATTTGGATTGAATTCACTTCAATAACTGCAAAAAACACAGGACTTGCTGCTTCCAGCCGCTGTGCTAAAGCTATATTATGTCATTGGATAACCATCGCCCTCTTGTGGACATTTGTTTCGCTTCTTCTGGGCAGAAAAAGCCCAGTCCGAATAACAGCATAACCGAAGAGATATAGAAAAATGTGTGCTTGTTTATTTTAGTGGTTTTAGGGATAAGTAATGAACACCAAGGCTTAATTATTATTTTAAAAAAGAGACTGAGTGTCCCTCCCTCACATGACTATTTTTGTACCATGACATGAAACATGAGAAGACATCAACAAACACACTCAGACAAAAGACAAAGTGGAGTAGAAGAAGAAATCATGTAAGACAAGTCTTGCACTCATTCCTAACTGAAATCAAACCCTTTGGTTAGATTGATCAGTTAAGTTGTGATCTTTAACAAATCCAAAGTGGCAGACCAATGATATCGACAGTGGAGAATTCTGCATCCCCTTATATGCTCACCAGCAGCTGTTGTAAATGTGTGTGAGCGCATGCGTGTCTGGACTTTCCCATTCTTCTGATCGCACAACTTTGTCTGGTAAGGCAGCAACTCTGTTCATTGCTTGGAATAGATTGACCTCCTCCAGAATAAGCCACTCATACTAATGCTGAGGAGTACGAATATATTTAGAGGTAAATGCCTTTAAATAGCAAATAGCTGCAGATTGCCTGTTTCATGTAGCAGTCTTACAGAAACATTTGTGTGCTAACTTTACAATATGAGTAGCATATAGTACAATATACTGTATATAGTTTAGTATGTATTCTTCCAATGCCATTTGTTTATGGGGGAATGATTGCTGTTGTAATTTAACGTTAGTTGCTACTATCTTGCTACTACTTATTTTGCTGTGTTGTGCTTTGAAATATGCAATCCAGATATGTAATAAATTGTATACATGGAGCTAATGAAACCTGTATATCTCCTCAGGAAATCCCAGTCACAATGACTCTCCAGTGGACTGCTGTGGCTTTCTTCCTCTATGTAGAGATAGCAGTCAACCTAATCTTGTGTATACCCGTCATATCGGCACGGAGGTACTGCAATTTAACTCACAAACCCAAAACATGATCAAAAGTTCATTCAGCAACTCGTCCTCAGCTTCCTGTGCAGAGGCCCATTTTCTGAACCAATAATTTAAAAACAAAAGGTCCTATGCAAGAGTCTGATTGTAAATAAGAAAAATGAAAGAGCCACTTCACACAAATCACCAGCAGAGTGCATGCATGTCCTTCCAGGGTAGATCTAATGTGTATTATGTTTCACCCACAATGGCCTTTTTACCTATACTTTGTAGATGGCGTTCAGTTTTCAGCTGGAGAATATGGAACTGGTTATCTCCATATTGGAACAAATGCTTTTTTACCATGATCATGATTCTCATTGTTCTCTTCCTCGGTAAGCAACCTGCTATGGCTGACATTGAATAACACTGAGTACACTGACAGCTCATTCATGCTTCTGTCCCCCTGCCCACCCTCAGATGCTCTCCGTGAGGTGCAGAAGTACTCAGGTCCTGAGCCCATGCACGATGCCACGGTAAACCCAAATTTGTACGACAATGTCCATATGAAGCTGTTCAGAGCCCAGAGGAACCTCTACATATCTGGCTTCTCTCTCTTCCTCTGGCTGTTAGTGTTATTTCCTTCCACATTTATTCAGCTTAAGTGTTTGGGACCTTCGTCAAAGACAAACATTACCATTCCACACAACTGTCCACTTCACTTTCTGAGGCCCCCCGTCTTCTTTTCTTCCGGTTCTCATCTCTTCCTGTCCTCCATCACAGTGTCATGCGTCGGATTGTCACCTTGCTAAACCAGGTTGCTGTCACGGGGGAGAACAGTGCAGGTCTTCAGGCACAGATGGACAGTGCTGTCAAAGCAGCCAAGCTGCACCAGGACGACAACTTGATGCTCACAAAAGTAAGAGTTAATCAGAGTCTGACGGCAGAACTAAAGCTCTTTTTGTCTAGTAGTCCTAAAGCCTGTTCTTTTCCTCAACTTCCCCAATGTGTAATATCTACTGCAATTCATATTGTACATTTAGTATAACATTACTTTGCATTTTTGTGACTCATGTACACCTTTTTAAAGTGTGTAAGCATTGTTACATACTGTATTTTCACAGAGGACTGTTTCTGTGATTTGTATTCTATATGTGCTCTGTTGTCTGCTGTTGGTAATCAAGGAGAATATTTTGTGCTCAGGCTCTCCTGGATGAGGAAAAATCCATGTCAGTAAAAAAACAGCAACTGAAGCTGGAAGCTGAGAAGCTGGCAGATCAAGTGAAGGTTGCTGAGGAGGGTGAGTGATCATCACTTGCTTCATACAGGTTGATCTGCAGTTCAACTTTTTAAAAATAAAGAAATGTTCTTATAATAAAATGTTCATGAAAAGCTATAATTATGAGAAAAGAATATAAAACACTAGAAGCTAATTCTAAGGGGCATTGATGATATGAAGAGCAATTGATAGATGAAGCACTGTTTGTGTGTGCAGCTGTGCGCAAGTCTCATGCTGAAGTGGAGGCCATGAGGAGGCAGGCCAAAGGTTTGGCACAAGAGTATGACAGACTATTGACTGAACATCATCAACTCCAGGTATAGTATACACGTACACACTCACACACGCATGCAAATACAAAATCACAAGCTACATATTGTATATATTAACCCACCTAATACTGGAGTGTATTAAGAGTTTTTAATCTTGTACTTGATCCACAGAATCTCCAGAGTCCTGCAGACAAAAAGGATCAGTAACCACAGGAACACAGTGACAATTGTTTTCATATTCCTCCTCTTTACTCATGACACTAAAACTGTGTGCCATATGCAGTGGGCCACCAGAGGTTTGTATTATCTTTTACAAATTTTATATTAAACTGAGGCACATATTTTAATTGATGAGATTAAACAAACAGTAGGCCATGTTCATTTATTTCAGTGAGATAAGCACACTTGTCCCTTGACTTGATGTGCTGATTATCAGCGTCTTTGTTTTAACAGATAATAATGAAATAGTGTTTACTAAGCATCCTGGAATGATAGATCTACCTTAAAACCTTAATATGCATAATTTGACAAAAAATTTAGAGTTGGCCTGGCATTTCCTGCCACCGACATTTGTGACAGTTTGGTTGGTATATGAACATGACAAATAAACATTTTAAACCCCAGAAAGTGTGTCTCTTATTGTCATGGTGATGTAAAAAATGAAGTCCCTGAAAAGGCTGATACCACAGCAACACAAACAATGGTTTAATCTAAGTGAAGGGATGCTTTTTGTTACATCTGTACAGGAAGTTCCCCAGTTTGCCAACGGGAAAGTCTTTTAGCTGCTGCTGTGCTGCTTAAGCGTTGATCTGCTTGTTGACCTTATTTGTTCACAGAAGACACTAACTTTGCATTTTTGCGTCAGCCAACGTAGTTCTCCTACACGTTTGGCACACAGGGGAAGTTTCAGTTGGCTGAAATCTGCAACGTCACCTCTAAATGCCGCCAGATTCTATACACTGCACCTTTAATATATATATGTTGAATCCCAAAATGCATTTCATCTAATTTATTCATAAAAACGAAGACCAACCTAGAAAATACAGCAGAATTACATTCTTGTTTTCTACAAAAGTCTTCCAATCATGAAAAACACATATTCCAGAAATAGTATATTTTGTTTTAAGAATGACTCGTCATCTCCACAAATCCCGTTCAAATATATACTCTGAATGCTATTAAAAGTGTCCACAGTTTGTGTTTCTCTATGCATCTGACTGAGATGCTCCATAGAGCGGAGTCAGAAGAGAAGAGCTTGTGCTGAGGCTCACAAGTGAGTCTCTCTGTCGGGATTGCAGTCCGAGGCCAGTATAAACGGCTCACAGTGTATGGAACTCTTCTCTTCTTTCCTTAGTGACTCCAACTCTGCACTCCCATTGGTCGGAGCATTTTTCTCCTCCTCCTTTATATGTATTTTGAGTAGAGAAAAGCCTGAAATACAGAGAAGGAAGGAGATTGTCCTTAAGCCCAGAGTCAGGCCCAGGTACACCATCCTGCAAAAAAAAAAAAAAAAAAAAGCATTGTACATATGCGTTGTACATTTGTACCACTAGTGGTAAGGGTCTAACAATAGCAACATTGTTTCTCTATTTTTAATCCATCGAATCATTTTGTTTATAAGCATTGCAGCCATGCAGGGCATGTAACTTGGTTATAGATGTTTTGTTATGTTTGAAAGTAAACTTTAGTTGTAGAAGGCATCCTAGTGGATATTTACACACAGCATTTTATAACAAAAGCCCTACAGATCAAATTACCTGTAAGCTGAGGTGTTGTATATTCTGCATGCTCCTCTTCCTCCACACATCTTGATTCCCCATTTGAGGCACGTTGTGTCGATAATGGCTCCAAAGTATATTGGGGCAGGTATTCCAGCTGTTCAAAATTCAAAATAACTTGTTACTTTAAACAAAGAGCACATTAAGGGTGTTATTGGTGTACTTATTGCAAAGATTATAGTGATGCTTTTCAAAAAGAAAATAGGTTTCTAAAATACTTGGTGATAAAAACGGTTCACGTAGGATCCTGAACATTTTTATTAATATTTAATGATGATTTTCAAGTAAGAATTTCCACACACGCACACACACACACACGGTTCTCACCGAGGGTGCGAGTGGCCAACGTGTAGATTCCAAGAGCAAGGGATTTTAGCTCAGGCTTAATGCACCTATAGAGACAAGACTGAGGGGTTTAAGGAGACTCAACTCTTAAACCTTGCAACGCTTTGAGAAAAACAATGATTTACACTTGAAGGCACAAAAGTAAAAATATTATAAAGCAAACTTCTGAAAATATCTCCACTGATAATACTAAATGATTAAATTGTTCTGATACGGCAGGAAGTGTCATCTTTTCAAGAATGCCAACATGATGTATCGCTCCAACAACAGGCTGCATGTGTAATGAGTCTAGTGACTCCACAAGGGGGGTTGTCGACGGACCTGACAAGCAGCATGAAGCCGGGTGTTCCCCCAAGAGAGATGATGAAGGAGCTGAGCACAGACAGAGCCAGGAAGTAAGGAAAGATTTTGTCACAGCTGTCTCTGCGTGGACACTGGCCCAGAGTGGCCGTTGAGTTGCCTTGTTGGGTGTCAGCCAGAAATACACAACTACAATTGTCAAACACCTAACAAAGAAGAATGATAGATGAGCTGCAGCACAGCAGGAAACACTTTTTGTCTTGAGGGAAAATAGTCATGCCAATACAACTGAAATGTCATGTGCTACTCTGTTGGCATCCGTAGGCATGATAGGAAAGAATCTCAGCAATTAAGCCCAAATATTAAGCTGCATTTGTTAGTCAACAGTTAAACTGAGAAATATGGATGTGGCATGAAATGAGTGGTGGGTGTCTGACCGTATTTCTGCCGGCCCCAGTGGAGGAGGTGCATCCAGCCAAGCAGGGGGACATGTAGGTGATCCCGTTCTCCCCACACACCGGATCCCACTCCCTTCTTGAGCACAAGCAACCCGAGTTACAGTCAGAGGAGAGAGACTGTTCCTGATAAGACAAGCCTTCCACTCTGCATGTGACAACATGAAGAATATGCATATATTATTGACAGCTCTCTTAAAAAATGTATCAAATATGGAAGCCACAACCACATCAATGTGCATGGGATATGAAAATAGAGACACAGAAAGTGTCTCAGCTGTACTGATTTATTGTAGAATTTCCCTAAATCCAAACCTAGCTCCTTCTTTTGAATGTTTTTTAACCTTTGTTTACCTTACCCTACACACATGAGGGAAATGCATCGAGACATCACATACCCGGTATATGAGACTGTGATGCCTGCCACCTTGGAGTTCTCACAGCCCATGACTAAGAAAATGAGCGACAGGAAGTAGCCCAGCAACGAGGTCCCAAAGGTGAATTTAGCTGCTCCCATGATACCCAGCTTGTACTTCTTCATGACGACCCCTCCAGAGAACATACCAAGGGCCACAGCCGGGATGTTGATCATGCCTTGCCAAGCCGGAGAATATAAACAGATTTGTCAAGAAACAACAGGAATAAGCAACACCAGGCAGCAACATCGCTCCCCAAAAGGGATCAAAGAAAGAGCACTCATTCATATGAAAGTAAGCTCATTCATATTCCATGTAAAGTGTACTGCAGTCATGTTGTAAACGATGAAATGACTTTTGTTGGCAGAGAGGATAGAAATGCATTTCTCATCATGCAACACCCTCCTCACTCATTCTGTTATGTGGAGGAAAACGCTGTTATTACATCATCTCCAATTCCATAACATTGACCTTATAACTGGTCTCATTACTCTGTGTGCTTTTTAAAAAAAACAAATGCCAAACTGTCCAATGATTTCAGTAAACCTGACTGGCACATGGAAGCTGCAGCGTTTCCTGAAGAGGGATGTGGGAGTTGGAGCATAAAAAAAAAAATCATCAAAAGCTGGCTCATGAAACTCTTATGATGACCATGTAGATCATATGACTTTGCATCCTTTAATACTTTTCTTTCTATGAAGCAACACAGGCTTTGGACAAACATGTAAATCATCTACAAGGATAAAATAACCCAACAAAAGTCATCCAAACAAGGTAAACACTATGAATTATCAAAACACTCTGCTTACCCATGAGAAAATTGGCTTTTGACACTGACTGGCCGTAGTGTTGCTCGATGTATTTTGGTTTGTAGGTGACCATCCCGATGAGAGAGTTGAACTGAATGATGGTCACGCATAAAAAAGTGATGTAAACCGGATTTCCAAGGAGACTCTTCAATGTGGGTAGAAATTCTGTGTGGGGAGGTTTATGAAAACCACTTGAAATGTCATGTGAGAATTTGTTTTATGTTTTTCTTAATTCACAGATTACTGCCTTTATAACAAGTATATGGTCTTCAAAAGTACACCCTCAAACATGCTTAAAAGGACGAAGCTTTTGATTAATTGGAGTGTTCTGAGGACAATTTAAATTCATAAGAAGAAACACATTTCTTTAAGAAGTTTGGTTGTGGTAGAAATGTAAGTACTATGGGTTAATAAAGGAAATGAAGAAAGTAGTTGCAAAATAAGTTTTAACATCACTAAAAATTCCCCGCACTGCATTCAGATTACGATGCCATTACTTAACATTCAAATCTTCCAACATTACAACTTGCTGCGACTATAATCATACCTTTGGCCATCTGATGTAAATTAGCCGGCTCCTCAGGTCTGAACTTGTGCTCCATGGTTGGGGAATCTTTGATAAACCTGGTTTGCTCTGGAGTGCAGCTGGTATCGTGTTTATCCACAGGCATGGGCAGTGATTTAGGCAGGAACCAGAAAGGAACAGCAGACATGAGGGTGATGGTACCAGCGATCAGGTAGCCCAGCCACCATGCCCCCACCCAGCGGGCATCACCAGGGGTGATGGTCACCGTCTCTGGGACGAGAAAAGAACCATCTCAGGACAGGATGCGGATTCAATTTGTTTCATTTGCTTACCATTTACTATAAGTATGTTTACACAAAATGTAAATTGCTTTTAGTTATATTGCTTTTTACGGCAAGGCAAGTCCGTTTCAACGAGCTTCATATACGCTATAAACTTTAGACTGCGGTAGACATTCAAATGCCACAGTTCAGAACCAAAGAGACGTCTCCTGACTTCAAAGTGTTTCCCAGTCAGATTACACTGTATCACAGGACTTACCCTGCCCTAATTCATTTCCTCTTGCCAGGTGCATTGTGTCTTACACAGCTTTAACACCATTGTGTACAACAGCCAATTTCTAAATCCAACTCCCCACAGGGGAGTGCGAGTGCATTTCTGCAGTGTGAACAAATTATGAACAACTTATCAGAGAGATGACAGCTTTACTCACCCATGTCCACATAACCAATGTCAACGTAGATCTTGGCACACAGCGATCCCAGCAGGTACCCAAAGACAGGACCGATGATTGATATAGTTTGGACACATCCTAGAATATCCAACAAAGACGTGTATTTTCATTTAACTGCATTCAACACCTCCTAGCATACAAACAAAACATGAAATGTTTGGACTCAATTCTGCAATTTTTTGACTTTTAAGATTTATTTTTATTTGGTACTTTAAGACATTCCATTGAATAATGCAGTCAATTTAAGTCTATTTGTATGCCTCCCCGCTGGCAACAGCCGCAGTCGGAGGCATTATGTTTTCAGGTTGTCCGTCTGGACGTATACCATTCTCGTGAACGTGATACCTCAAGAACGATGGAGGGAATTTCTTCAACAGTCACTTGGACTCAAGGATGAACAGATTAGATTTTGGACCTTAAAGGTCACTGTAACCTCACAAAACCTCACATGTTTTTGGCTATAACTCAATAATTCAGATGCTAATTATGACAATTTCACATAAATGTCTGGAAAATGATGAAGTGATGACACTTTGGACAGACATGAATGTAAAGAGCAACATAACTTGTTGGCGGTGCCGTACAACCATGAGGCGGTAATTCTAGTGCTTTAAGCAGTATTAAACATGTTTTCACCTACTCCCAATGAATCCTTAGTACATCCTATATGCCTACTAATACATACTGAAAAACGCAATTCTTTCTTAGCTGCTTATAAAACCCTTTTATTCAATTATACAAATTCAAAGAAAATCCATTCCTGAATGAATTACATTGATTATGAAGTAATCTTGGTACGGTGCAACGCTATAGTAAGTATGAGTAAATGAGTAAAATGCATTACCAATATAGAGGGCAGCATTCTCTGACTGTGCGTAGTCATCAATATAGGAGATGCCCAAAGGCTGCACTGGAGTCTCTCCAATCCCACGCAGGACATTTCCCAGAAAAACATAGACCCACATTGAAACACTGGACTCTCGCTCACAGCCTACAGTTCAAAATGAAATAGGAAAAATTTGAATTAAAAATTCAAACCTTCAAAAATGTACAAAATATGAACAAAAAATACAATGAACTTAATACATGCTTTGCCTGCCTCTTCAATATTACTACATTCTTGTTATTCTTATTAACCATGGTAAGAAAGCTAGTTTTGGTCTTACACATCACATCGAGACAACTCCAGCAATGTCAAAATAGACTAGTTTACTGTGGTGGTCTAAATCCTGTCTTGGGATCTGTCTGGTATTGTATTGGAAACAATACACAAATAGTATTGGTAATTTGGCAAATTGTGAATAAAGAAATAAGCAATGTGTTTTTGACCAAGCGCACTAATCCCACTCTTACCTCTAGAGGGCAGTATAGCAGGTCTGTCACCAGCCCTGGTGGACTCAGGTGAGCTTGCTGGACATGGAGAGAGGTTATTGGTTGAATTCACAGACCATCTAACTGATGTTTCGATCTTATAGCTGCGTACAAAATACCAATTTGACTGTTAAACAAGGGAAGGGAGAAAGCATCCGGTATCAGATACTCACAATGTTAAGCACAAATACATATATAATTGTCAAAGTGCAAGGGATACTGTCACTACATTTTGTTTACGATGCTTGAAGACAAAAATCATCATGCGCAGAGTTTGTCAGCTGCAGTGATTGCATACAGACATGACACTTTGCCTACCGGTCAATGATGAAATGAGGCATGGCGATCAAAAAGGTCCCAAAAGACATCAAGATACATCCAATTGCGATGATCTTAGGTCGGTGGAGTTTGGCACCAAAATAGCTCACAAAGGCAATGACCAACAAATTCCCTGCAAGGTTAAGATGATCAGAAAAGCAATAAAATATGAGACCTACTGTTGAGGGAATTTTAATTAGTGTAGTATTCTTCAAAGGCTGTATTCCATACATATTGTATATACGTATACGAGAAAAGGTCTGCGAAATACAAAGTATCTAAGAACATCTAACTCATTTAAAAAAAATAAGTCTGAATAAATCCTATTCTAAATCCTAAAGATTATAGACGGCTGCAATCTCTTGTAAACCCTGATACTTACTGTATCTTACTGTCTTGTTTTGATTATGCTGACAGCTGTAAGATCGCTACCCTCAACACATATAAATACAGAGGAAAGGTCTTTTTATTCAGACAACCATACCACAAGCACGCTCGCTTGAACTGAGGATATAATAGCAGACAGTCTGCAGCTTTTTCAAGAAACGTATTTATCCTGCAGCGTGGGCTCTGTGATATTTCTTTATGTGTCTGCATGTTACATACTGTATATCGATCACTGCAATCTGTCTTTTCACAAAATGTCTGTATATAATGTACCTGTATAGTATCAACAGCCCTACAAGAGGTCTGTGTAGATTTTGATCAAAGTCAGCGTGAAAATTAAGATTTATCTGAGGCATACACAGACATTTTTATATGTTTTGTCCGTAGTCTGTTGTGCAACTACTAAAACCATCACAAAATCCCTCTATTCAAAGCCTACAAAAGCATTATTCACTCATTAGGAGTTGATTAGGTATGCGACCACTGTGACTATTCAAAGCTCAAAGGGGATGCATATGGTGCCAAGCTTGCTGGCATGCTGGGGACATATTCTTGTCTTACAGTAGCTTCCAGATAGATAGAGAGAAAAATAGAATAAACATGAAGAATATTTAACAATACACTATTAATATACCGAACTATAACAATATAAACAAAGGATAACAGACTATAAACATTAGACATAAAGGATCTAAATGCATCAAAATGTATCTCAATCGAAGAGCTTCAAAACTATTTAGCCAGCTAACAGAGAGACACATGGACAAAAAGGAATTGAGAAACTCACCTATTTCAAAGCTGCCATCTATGATGCCGATCAGATAACTGGGGATGTCGAATCGCCTTTCTAGTTGTGTAATTGTGCTCTTCATGTAGCTGCCAGTTAAAGCCTTGGCAAAGTAGGCAAAGGACAATGCTGCAAGAAACATCTAGAGAGATACAGAAAGAGAAGACGTTGTGTCAAACTATGTGGTCCGCACTTTTCCTCTACATTTTAATTTCAAAAGAACAAATCAACCTGTATTGTTATTATTTTTATATTTAGTTCAGGCAGTTCAAACACTGTAGTTCAAATACCTCAGAGCCACAGTGGAAAGGAAACACAAAAAGTAGGAGAGTTAAACTCTGGAAAGAAAAATGAATATTGGGATTTTGTGACAAAAAAGCAGTAGCTTGTGACTTTGTGCATGTTTTTCTCCGAGTGAGTGAGTGTGTATGTTTGTACTGTATGATGTGAATTTGTAAGGCAGATATACATTTGTAAAAGGAGAAGCTGTCTGTTAGAGCTTTGGCCAGAGAGTGTATTGAGCTAAGCCACCTGTGGACACTGACAGTCAGTAGCAAAAAAAAAACTATTTTTTTCAGTCAAATTAATTTATTCCATTGCCATTTAATAAACAACTATGACTTCACAAACCACTGGTTCTGACAATAATGGTGTTATAATTAATAATCTACTTTAAAGACACATACCAAAAACAAAATCAAAATGTATTCTAAAATGTTCAATACAATTCACAGATGAGTGAGTGAGGGACTCTATAAACCGCTGCAGTAAGAGACACACAGGTTTGGTTTGGTTTGGTCAAATAACTGAAAACAGATGTTGAACGCACAAATTAATTAGCAGATGGTGAAGAATCAAGCATGCCACATACCACATGTAATGTTGGCTAAGTAGATGCTAAATAACATAAGTAATGACCTTCAGCCAGGCTTAATAGTATGTTAAGAGTGGCTCAAAAACCAGCATACTTATGGAAATCTCCATCACCAGAAATCTGTCAGCATCGCTCCTACAGCGGACGGCAATGCACTCAAAACTTCATCATGTGAACTGTAACCCCATTTGTCTTTGGCCCAAAGCTCGTCCAAGCTGAGCTGAGCAAGAATCTTAAAAACGGGAAGCGTGGAATGACATTTCCTCAGCATTCATTTAACACTTCTTGTTTATAGATTATGTAAATGACAAGGTGTTAGTGTTGCTATGGCTACCACCTGGGTGGTCTGCAGCTGATTAGTAAACTGGCTGGCCTAGCTCTAATGTCAAGTGCATAATTGCCGTTCATACCACAGAACATAAGTGGTTATAATGCTTGTGCGGGAATTCTGAGGCACGAAGGGTCTCATTTGACTGCATTAATAATGTTGATATAGAAACCTTACACAACCATCATGGTGTCTGCATTTTCTTCAGACGTCATCATTTAAAGAAGCCTTCACTGCTTTTTGCAACAATGGATGGTGAGGTGTGTGAGGAACATCATGTCAGATCTTAAAACGTACCTTTACCATTGTCTCATCTTTTGTGCTTTATTTCAGCTGTCATAATGTGGTTTTACAAAAAGATGTGTGTAAATGAAATCTATATATATTTAACACAATTTAATAGAACTACAACCAATTAGAGCAAGAATACATGTGACCTAGCACTGAGCTAACTGAAGGAGTGTTGCACTCTTTCTACAGTTGTGATTGGCCCGTCAAATCTCAATTTGCTGGAAATTTGTCTAAAGCGGAAGGGGACCAGATGAATTTGCCAGACTCAAAAACATGAGGCTGCAGATTCGTCTGGTTTTCAGGCAACGCGTGTGTGCTACAAAGAGACAAAACCACTTTCTCTAGAATGCATGTTGTATTCAAAGCACCTCACTTAGAGGTTCATTGTAAGATTACACGGAGGGAGAACACACATGGATAAAAAGGCATGTTTCTTGTAGTTGCCCTGGTATTTCACTAAGCAGCTTTTTAATTTTTCTCCAATGTGCGAACTAATCCAATAAAGAGGTCCAATCTGACCTCTTTCACTTAAGCACACACTTTGTCTATGGAATTTCTCACTTAATACTTAAAACTTAAAACTTAATACCCAGTCCAAAGGTTAGCGAGAGCTGCATGGTCATCCACTTGGCCTCCTAACACGAAGCACGCTCAACTCAAATGCTCAGTAAGTGTTCAAACACTTACTGATTTAGATCAACACACTCACAATTAAGCGGCCTTAAGCAGCTAGACAGTTTAAACAACTTGCTTGAAAAAAATCCCACTGTAGCAGAAATGGCGACATGGATAGCTTTTAGATATTCAAACACAGGAGGGTACATTCATCAACATGTGCGCTCTGTGCTGCTCACATACATGTGATCCCAGTAATTGCAGAGATATTTGTGTGCCCCCCTTGAGGCCAGTCAAATGACAAAGAATGGCCATTTCAGGCTGAAATACTTCATATGATACATGTTCTTATGAATGTTCTCTGGTGTATAACGCTGAACCCATTTTACCTGTGTAACTGTACTTCAGTACTATTTCTCTCTCTGCCACTTAAAAACTGGATAAAAAACAAAAACACATTCTACAAGATATGAAATATTAATTGTGGAAATACTGTAATGGTATTTCGGAGTTTGATATAGATACAATTTTTCTGTATTATTGGAGGTGTGTATTGTCTTTACACAAAACATGAAAACAAAGGAGCTCCAGCACACATTTGACACCACACCACTAGGAAAGCCATTTACAATATGACACAGTTTTGACTAAATTTACCAGTACACAACAAACCTTAATTCACGACGTCCATTTAGTGAAGATTTTGTTATATATTCAAGAACTGTAACAAATACGGTTTGGCAAAAGGTCAAACCACGGGTTTGTCAGGAGAGTACAGTACCTTCAGATTGGGATGGCAGGAGTTCTTCCCTGCAGAGGAGGTAGGGTTGTTGGTTAGAGTCCAGCTGCCTGTAGATGTGTCGTCCATTTTCTTCATGGCTGCCTCCTACTGTACTTTGCCTGAGCTGTGGTTTCTCTTTAGATGATTGACTGCGTCTCCTCACTCACAACTGTTGGAAGGAATTTAGATTAAGAAATCTGTCACACCCATTTTGCTCAACAACAATTAGTAGTATAGTATATAGTAATGGTATTCGTTTAGAACAGCACTATTATTCACAGACATTATAAGTTCTATGTATTGGGGATAGCATTTTCTTTGGACTAAAATAAGGTGAAACTAGAATTTGCGCATTGCGGTTGTATGCCTCCGCCAACCAGTCATGATTCACTTTACATCCATGTCTGTCCAAATGTCATCACTTCATCGTTTCATCCAATTTGACATTTGTGTGAAAATGTCATAATTATCATCCAAATTCTTGAGTTATGACCAAACACATTGACCTTTGACCACAAAATTCTAATCAGTTCCTCACTGAGTCTGGGTTACCGCTTTTGCCAAATCTGAAGACATTCCCTCCAGACTTTCCTGAAAAATCGGGTTCATGAGAATGGACCGGACAGACCCAAAAACATAATGCCTCCGGACACGGTTGTCACCAGCTTGGAGACATAGAAACATAAAGCAAGTTCCACAGGTCTAAAATTCTACTCTGACCAATAATGTGACAGCCAACAGGTTTCCGGACAAATGTCAACACATTGCAAAACATAGTGATATTTAAAGTATAAATCGGAAATACAAATTGTAACCACCTACTATAGAGAGCAAACTAGGAATGCAATGAGTGTCAGCATGAGAGAACTGATATTTGCATTCATTTTGTTTAGTCTGCTTGTGAGTGAAGACATGATGAGAGAGAGAGAGGAATATAGAGTCAGAGAAAGTAGAGCAGTTGTAACACCGTTTAAAAGCCAGAATGTTTATTCAGTGACAAGAAAACTCCCAATGGACTCCTCCTCCATACACCAAACCACAGCGTAGCTTTGACCTCTGCAATAAAGAAATGTAGCTGTAGATGATGACATAAAGGCTTTCATGCTCATCTAATAGACATTCAGCAGAACTGTATATATATATATATATATATATATATATACACACAAGACCGTAAACAATTATGGCCTGCAGCCCACATGTGGAGACTCCGGGCCAAGTATTTCAAACACAACAGTCAAAACATTTCATCAGTTTGTTCTGAAGCTTGTATCTGACTGAGCTGTTTGCTCCAAGAGAGACTGTTAATGACCCACATTCTGTATACACAATTATTAAACTGCCTTCTCTCCAGGGCCACTATGAGAAAATATCACCTATTCAAGTCCACACAGGAGGGAGGTTTTTGTGAATAATCCTGGTGTTCAAGCTGAATAAAATGTGCACTTTTAACACTAAATATTAGAAATGTTTTTTTGGTGTCCGATATGAATTTAAGAATACCCTTATTAATATTGCTGCATTAACTAAAGGGTAGTGACTTCCTTGACTACCTGTCAAGATTCTTGACAGTAGGGTAATCCATAAGTGTGCCGCTGTTGAGAATCAGCTGCATGAAAGCAAATCAATATCTTTTAGGGGGCCAAACTCTTTGAAAGCGACTGATAACGACTGCAGATCATCGTCAAACACACTCTGATGTTTAATACACCAGGAAACAGGGTGTAAACTTGTGCTGGGTTCAAAGATAATCACATGATCTCTTTTGAATTATGGGCAATGGTAATACCACATGCACTCAGGTTAATTGGTCAATACATATTGAGTAATGTGATAAGCATCTGTACATCTGTGCACTGCTGGTTAAGTGTTTGTTGATGCTTCACTAGCCAGGATTCCATCCAGATAAATATTATATAGCCTTTTTAATAGATTTAATATTAAAAAAACACAAAACTTCGACCGAAGGGAATTCTCATGTGCCATTAAAACATTACAGAAGAAAGGGATGCAATGTGGTGTCATGATGTCAGTCAAACATGAAAATGATAAAATATTATGTAAATATGTAATTGATGTTTTACAGTCTGCTCATGGCTCCAGACAGATCTGATACATACACTGATATATATAGGGATTAAAAGCAAAAGACATAAACATAAAGTAATATGACCTAATATGGTTTACCATCATGTTTCGTCTCTTCAGTGACGTTTAAGTCACATGCTTCGTATAGGCTGCGTCATGATTAATTCTCTCAATCTGCTTTCATTGCACTTTTTTATATTGTTGTTCTATCGATACACCATTTCAACATCAGCCAAGCGTAAAAAGTTTCCTGCAGTGTTTGTTTCACACATTTTTTACGTTTTCACGCTCAAATTTAAAATGTGCACATAAAAACAGGTGGACGAAAACGCACCTAAACTGGGGCAGTTTCGGTCGATCACCTGCCTTTACAAGTCATCTCAAATCACATCGCTGCAACTTTACTTAATTGTAGTCCTGAAAAGAAACTGTCAAGAAAACAATAGGCGCATGCTTTTTCTGTGACAGAGGAAATCATGCTACTTACCCAACTCGAAGCTTCAACCTTCTCCCTTAAAGACGTCTCTCTAACTTATTATTCTAAAATACAAATTGAGGCAGAAGGATCCTGTTGTTTCGCAAGGCTTCACCGACAGTGATCCTCTTCTAATGAAGTCACCGACTCACACTGCAGCCGACACGCTCCTCGGCGGCGGAGAAGACTGTGTTTCACAGGAGGCGACAGGGTGTATGTATACAGGGAGCAACGTGTTCACAGGGAGGCACACGTGATGTGCTGAAGAGAGCTGCGAAAACTAATATCCAGACATAAGCCAGACTTAAGCTTTAAGCGGTGAAGTGTTAATGCAAACATATGCAATGTGTCGGTATACCCTCAACACAAAGCCATGATTCAGTTCCCGTATTAAATTACACATCTATTAGACCTGCAGCATGCTGTGGCATACTAGAGGGACTGTATCATTTAGCTCAGACAACATGCATGGATTTATTATTCACCCTCTGCTTACTACAGTATGAAGTGTTTACAGCTTTCAAGGGTGTCTCACTTATAAAAAAAAAAACAAGATATGCTGGCAAAACTATGTCATTTAGATTGATTTGACTCATGTCAACAGAAAAAATGTGATCCTGATTGAGATAGGTGGACTACTTCTTAAGTCACTGAAGTCAAATCAATTAAGTCAAATCAATTAAGTCAAATCAATTATCCTCAACAATCTAGATACTGTAATAATGTAGCAGATTTCTGGCTCATCCATGGCTATAGAGAGAAAATATGTATGGTAGTCAATGGCGAGAGATTATTATCTTCTTGATCCCGTTTGAATTGTATGATTTACACATTATGATGTTTGTCAATTTAAAAGATAATTTTGCACGTCAAGACAGTCGCAGTTTGTTTGTCAAAGTACCTTTTAGTTTTGCGTGAAACTGCTCAGTGAACTAAGTATAATGCACATGGGAGAACTTTGCCCTTTCTGTCAGAAATCTCCTTAGGTTAAGGCAACAAACCTACTGGGTTAGGTTTAGGAATAGATCATGTTTTGGGTTAAAATAATCTCTTTCTGGCAGAAAGCACTGGAGGCATACTTGTCCCGTGTACATCTCTCGTCTCGAATAACGTATATTTTCAGTCTTATACTTCAACAGTTGTGTGACAAACTGCGACTTTGTTGACGTACAAAATGATCTTTTAAATTGACAAACGTGTGTAATTCATGGTGCAATTCAAACAGCATCAAAAAAATATTTTTCTCTCGCAGTTGATTACCAAACCTAATTTTTCCAAAACATGGTCCCATGGTGGACAATAGTAGGGACTTCGCCTTTCTTTAAACTTGTGTTCAAATATAGTGAGCTCGTTGCTCTATCTCTTATCTAATTTAAGGAGTCACAAAACTTTGTGGTAAGCCGTGGAATTTGAAATGTGTTAAAGTTTGACTGACCTAATATCATCTAACTGCAGTAAGCTTCAATAAAATTAGTCATAAAGGCTCACAAACCCTTAAGGTTCAATCAAATTTGAAAATGGAGTCAAGTTCTTTGCATGAATTGGATTGTTGTTGGTTTCAACTTTTTCTTAATTCATCCCAGAGACAATCTTCATGAAAGAAAGTCAGATGAAATACGTTTTTAAAGGCCTTCAAGACCAAGTGGGTGCCAATGCATCATTAATGCTTCGTAGATAGACAGATAAGGTCATAATATTCCTCTGTTGAGCCTACTGACACAGCAGCTGGTCAGACCTCATTTTCCAAGTTTCTCTGTTGCCATGAGTACAGCAGACCGCTTGTTATGAATGATACCTCTCTCTATACAGGTAAACATAACCTACTGCTTTAACCACCTAATTAGATGCTACATTGGCTGCTACCTTAGCAAGAGTGAATTATTATGTTGTTATAGGACTGGGCAATATCAACTACAATCTTCAAACACGACAGGAATGTTTCTTTTCGGCAATGGACTGACTTACTCCATCTGTGCTCAGAGAGGGACTAATGGAGTATCTTTGGTCTGCTTCTGACTAATTCAACATAGCCAAATATTTCTGAAAAGCATTTGAATAACGCTTTAAAATGATAAAAAAATGGATAAGACTATATCTTCTAGACTTAAACTGTGTCCTAGCTCAAAGGTGCTCTTGATGAAGCGCAACACCTAGATCTTCAAAGGATATTATGTCGTGATGTACCGTGTCGATTTTAATACAAAGCCATTTCTAAAGTTAAATCAAAGATGGAAAATAAACACAACACAGACACGGGGATACCACAGAAATTATAGTCTTGTAATTCAATGTATTCACATTACAACATCCACATGGTTCAGTTTGTGACAACTTCTAATGATCTTCAAATATATTCACTGTATGATACATAATACCAATATAGGCACTTCCAGTAAGTCTGGCAATATTGAAGCTACAGTATAGTGTCTAAATTACAAAATGGTAAAAATAAATAATGTATATCTAAAAGAGTTTTTGTAGTTTTAAAATTTCTCTACTGTACAGCATATATGTATATATTGTACAAAATGGAGCGTCAACCTGCAAGAAGATTATTTTACTTTCACAAATACTGTGTATTTGGACATATTCTTCCTTGTGTAAGTATTAGCACATGTGATAAGTGCAAGGTACTAGTGAGAAGAAAGCAATTATTAAATCATGTGTCAACTATATAAAAATACTCATCTCATTTTGTTTTACATAATTGTAAAGCTTGTTTGTTTCCCATGGTTACAATTATGCTTTGTGTGTGAATAAGTATATGACAATGAAATAAAACCAATTAAGACACAAACAATACACTGTCAAACCTGATATACTGTATCAGTTCAAAAGTATTGACTTCAGACTGATGTGACAGGGGACAAAATGCATCACTAAAGAAAAGAGAAAGACCCCCAACAAACTAACACAGTGGACAGAATCTCATCACCTTTAAAGATGAGAGACGTGTGATGCATGCTCGACTGCTGTTGCCAGTGAGGATCTCTGATCTGCACACTGAGCACTTGGCAGATCAAAGAGGAAGCACAAGGAAAAATATGCTGTAGGACCTTCTGGGAATAACAATTTCATCTGAGCATCTGAGAAGAATTGAAGAACGACTTCCTGTATCACTTTACCCTTCATTATTTCATCACCTCTACTCGTGAGTAAGCCTCTACTCAACAGTAAACGCTGGACAAATAAAGTCACATTAGAGAGGCCAATGGAAGAAATCAAACAAACACAGATACAAACACACATTATCTTGCTCTCTCTCTCTCACATGCACACACACACACACACACACACACACACACACACACACACACACAC